ACACGTTAAATGCTATTATGAAATATATATATGAATGAATTATAATATATATGAATAAATATAAAAAGTAAATATTTGGTTCCCGGCCCATCGTTCCTAAAACCTTTGGAATCCCTGGATTGATGTGTATGCTAATGAGATGACTGTGGTCGGACCCTAGGTAGCTTCAGGATGGGGGCTGCCTGCCAGGAAAGCCAAGGCACAATTAGAGGGTTGGAAATTTTAGCCCTAAGCCCTGACATCGAAGGAAGGGAGAGGCGGAGGGGCAGGAGGTTAGGTGAATTACTAATGGCCAACGATCTAACCAATCGTGTCTACTTAAGGAAACTTCCATTAAAAAACCCTAAGCAATTGCGTTCAGACAGTTTCCCAGCTGGCGAACACGTTGACGTACGGGGAGGGTGAGGCACCCACAGAGGGCGTGGACGCTCGGCACACCCCTCCCCATCCCATGCCTGCCCCATGCAGCTCTTCCATTGGCTGTTCTTGAATTTGAATTCTTTATAACAAACTGGTAACAGTGAATAAAGCACTTTCCTGAGTTCTGTGAGCCATTCCTGGGTAATATTGAACTTGAGGGGTTGGGTCATAGAAACCCCCGATTTATAACCCGTCGGTCAGAAGTATAGGTGGCAACCTGGGACCTGTGACCGGTGTCTGAGTCGGGGGTGGTCTTGAGGGGCTGAGCCCTCAACCTGTGGATTCTGACACGTACTCCGGGTAGGTAGCGTCAGACGGAATTGACTCGTAGGATACCCAGTGGTGTCGGGAGGACTTTGCTGGTGTTGGGAAAAAACACCAGACAACTATGACTCGGGAAGCATTGCGGCTTTGGGAACACAGAGGAAGGGACCCTAATGCAGACTAGGGGGGCTAAAGAAGGGTTCCTGGAGAAGTGGATTAAACGGAGACCTAAGGGTGGCCAGGCAAAGGGGGAAGACGGGGCTGTAAAGAAAAGATTCTGGGCAGATGGAAAATCTCAGCAGAGCATCAGGACGTGCGCTTCTCCTTGCAAATACAAATTGTGAATTGACCCTGTAGCTTCCATACCTCATTCTCTTATGAGCTAGATTAGTGTGAGTCCATCTTCTTGGGTCCGGACACCTCTCGACACAGTGACAAAGTTGATTCTCTCGGCCTACGCATCAGAGGGTGAGATCAGGGAACACCGAGGTCCCGCTGAGACAGTGTCACCAACGTGAGCGCCAAATGGATCTTCCCAGAAAATACTCCCTGCCTTGTTTTGCATGATTATTCCAACTGCAGTGAAAGTTCTTAAATATTTGTGGTTGGACAGTTTATTCACAGCGGGTACTCTGAAGACAGGCCCAGCGTTGTTTTGAAATAGGGTTTTCTTTTCAAAACTGACATAGATACTCTCCGTGGTGTCAGAAGTGGCCTGGCGGGGGAAAACGGGACGCATGCGCCAGTGATGTTAGCTTCCCCGCTCCCGGTTGATCCAACACACTGAAATCCACCGCGAGTCCGTCACCCGCCTCTTCCACGAAATCACTAACTCTGTGAAGGGACACACACACCTTCCCGGCACCTGCAATTAGTTTGCATTCATTCTGTGCTTTTTGTTAGTTTGTTCGGGGGCCTCCACTGACTAGTTCATCTATTAATAATAAGGAACACTTACTGAATGTCTCCCGGGTGCAAGTTAAGGGCTTTACGTGAATCAACTCATGTAATCCTCATACCAGCCCCATGAGGTGGCTGCTGTTACTGTCCCCAGGGTTCACACCCAAGGGGGCAGTGGAGTCGCTCACTCAACTGCTTTCTCTGTCTTCGTTTCTAGAAACGTGGTGTTTCCTCAGGGCATTTCCTGTGATGTCTGGCACCAAGGGGCCCTCGGGGCGTGCTGCTCGCCCCAGACATGTAGGGGAGCTCTCCAAGAACGTTCCATCCGCATCATGAGACACGGACTCCTTGTGAAGTGAGCAATGCACAGCCACCAACATGGAGCCAAAGAAGCGCAGAGTCAACACACCCACGCCGAGAGCAATGCAAAGTCACCCAACGTTTCTGAAGTGACATGACAGAAAGCCCCGTGGTCTTTCCCAGCACAAACTTCTGTTTTAAACAGTTATTAGAAAAGTTTGCTGAGAAGGCAGGAAAGTAACCGTTAGATTTTTAAGTGATGGTTTGCCTTTCAGAGCCCTGTCAAAGTTTTTTAAAATTTTTATTGAAATATAGTTGATTTACAATGGTTGTGTTAATTTCTGCTGTACAGCAAAGTGACTCAGTTATACATATATATTCTTTTCCATTATGGTTTATCACAGGACATTGAATATAGTTCCCTGTGCTCTACAGTAGGACCTTGTTGTTTATCCATCCTGTTTGTACTAGTTTGCATCTGCTGACCCCAAACTCCCAATCCTTCCCTCCTCGCCCCACCTCCCCCTTGTACAGCCCTTTTGATAGCACTGGAGAAACGACCTAGTTTTAAAACAGCCGGGGTTCATCTGGGGCCCAGAATAGAGACACGATGGCCACGGCCTCACCAGGTAACCCTTTCGGGCCACGAGTGACACGTCCTGGGCTTCCCTCCCACACCTTCAGCATTTATTGATAACATGTCTTCAAAGATGGACTCAGAAACTCTTTGGATGCTTTTATTGACAATTTGAGCACAACCTTAGACATAGTTGCCAAGTATTTCTTTACACAGTTCAGAGAAAAATAAAGATTCTTCTGCAAAGACTTTATTTCTGTTCTTTTGCTAGATTCACAGCTTGTTGCACCGTTCAATGCTCAGACATGTTCATTTATAGTGGTTTGTGATTCACACTCATTTACAGTGGCTGCTTGTTCTTTAACTTGTTTTAAGAATCAGTATTCTATTCTGAAAAGAAAAAGAAGGTACCACCAGGGAAGTTGCAGGGACCTAGGACTTCTACTGCCTGCACGAGTGGGAGCAAATCTTGTCTGCCTGGCACACCCAACAAACCATGCAGATCGGGAGCAGGCAGTAACAGCAAAGTCATTAAGCTGCAAAGCTGTGGCGGGTATAAGATGCTGGGTGCCCCCCTACAGAGGGAACCATCTGACTGTCCTGCCGGCTCCGTGTACGGAGCTGCTACCTGCTGGGACTGTCGGTAACTCGCAGGCAGGCCCCGCGTGGGTTCCAGGCTGAGCCCTGATGCCAGCCATGGGGATGTGGGGCTCCAGCCTGGTGACCTGCCTCTTTCTTACTTGGGAGACTGGCTCTCTGCTATCTCTGTACCATCCATAGGCTCCCTGACAGGAGGTGGCATCCTCTGGGCCGTGCTGGGGAGGTTGGATTTTCCCACAGAGTGAAGCCATGTGAGGCCGTTCCCGCTGATGGGGCTGTCTCCTCCCTATAATTTCCCAGCTGCAGGACCTCTGAGGAAGACGGAGAGGGGGGATGTCCCTGGATGGATTGTTAGGGACAAAGGGACAGATGTCCTGGGGGAGTCTGCTGGGGTCCTTCCCTCTCTCCCTCCAGCAAGGGTTTCTGGTGTTACATCTACAAGGACAAGGCCTGCTACAGATTTCATAATTTCCAGGGTCTCTAAATCCAAAAGAAACCCTGTGCTCTAGTGAGAGTCATTACACCCACAGTGATGGTCGCGATCTTCCTGAGAAGGCGGACGAGAACAAAGACAGTGGTTTGACTTTTCCATCACATGCTGTGCTGTGGAGGATGAGGTTTGCTGCATTCAGTGTAAGCACATCTCTTTTTGATGTATTGTGAATGCCTCAAAAATAAAAAAAAGGATGAAAACTTGATCAACAATCCAATTCAAGCCATGTTAACGTGAGGAAATATTCTCGTGTGAGTTTACATCCTAGAGAAAAGAACTCTGAATAACCCGTTGGGGGGGGCAGAGCCCCGAGTGGGCTGTCCTGAGCCATGTTAATTACACTTACAATGTATTTTGGTTCCATATCACCGCGATTCGTCCCCAGTGACCCCTTTATCCTTTTAGGCACATTTTTGTTGTTGTCGCAGTTTCCCTTTACACTCTGTTGCTTTGACAACCGTAACCTGAATCAGATCTGAAAGGGGTCCAGAATAAAATATTTTGGTATAAAATATTTTGATACAGAAAAGTGTAATTAACATGGTCCAGGTGGACAGAAAGTGCATAAAATTTCATTTTGATGATCTGGAAACGCTCCTTCCTTACAGATTCTGCTTTAATAACCTGCATGTTTGTTAACACTGAGAATCATTATGAAATCATTTCTAAAAGTGTCCCCTCTAGAGGCACCTTATTCATTACATTGACAGTGAAGCCAGATGTAGGAGCTCCAAGCTCAAAATGAATGTTTAAAATCAAATTCTCGATTGTGTAATACTTTCAGAAAAACAATTTCTTTCTAACGTTGCATATAATTAAATGAAGTGAAAGTACACTAAGTTTTGATTTCTTCCCTATACATTTGAACATTCAATGTTCAGATTAAGTTTCATAATTTCTCAGTTAGTTGACAAGCTGATTCATGCAGAGTTGATATTTCATTAATGCAATACATAAAAATAGAATTCTTGGGGATAAACACATGGTTTTGACTATTGCCTGTGTTCTTTGGGAATAGATGCTTTCTGAAAATTTAAATAAGAGCATCGCTTTTTAAGCTGTGAATGTCATTCTCAGAATCCATTGCAGTCAATCTTAGAGAGAACCACTGACAATAGTTCCTCAAAACTATTTCGCACCTCACCAAAGGCTTCTTCCCATTATTTGCTGAAGGTAAAAGGCAGCTAATTGAACCTGAGAAATCTCTGTATTTTTCCAGCCTGACTTGAGTTCACTCAAGAATGACAACCCATACAAAAGGTGAATTGCACTGACATCTGTGCCCTGGTGTCTGTGTATTGCAGAGGCCTGCGAATACTTCCTGATGGTCTCACCATTAGCTTGGCTGTTTCCCAGGGGCACAATGAAAGGGATCCTGGGAGCTTCTCTTATAACTGTTTTTGTGATTTTGGAAAGAACTTTGTGTGTGTGTGTGTGTGTGTGTGTGTGTGTGTGTGTGTGTGTGTGTGTGTGTGTGTGTGTTTAGAGAAAGGAGAAGCAGCAGATGACACTAGGACACTCTGTACGTTTCCCAGTGGGATGGCGGCTGAGTTGCGCCTGCGTGGCCACTGCTCCAGCTACACGTCGAACCAGTGGTCCCCCATGCAGGCGCGGTTCCACTCCAAGCCGCAGTTCCAGCACCACTCGAGCTGGCACTGGGGCTGCGGGCACTTCATGTGCATGCACCCTCCTGTGGGCAGACAGAGGCCACAAATAAGCACCCGGGAAACACTCCCGCACCAACCTTCTGTTCCAGAAATGCTTCCTAACAGAATTATTGCAAGCAATCCAAGAGCAGAATCTGAACTGAGGAAAACAAACCAGAAAGCCCACTGGGAAGTTCTAAAGTTCTGACATTCGTTAAGAAATGAGAGAATAACCTATATGGGAAAAAAATCTGAAAAAGAATGGAGATATATATCTGATTCACTTTGCTGTGCACCTGAAACTAACACAACATTGTAAATCAACTATACTCCAATAAAAATTAAAAAAAAAAAGAAATGAGTGAGATCGAAGCATGACGCGTCCATCAAGGACAAATTTTACTTGTAAATCTGAGTTTACTGACTTCTCTTAAGATGGGATTTAAAGACAAACGTTTTGTGTTTCACAGACGGGGTCGATTCCTTATTTAAATATACAGTAAATTTAATATTTTAAGTATACAATAATATATTTAACAATTTAATACATAATAACGTCAATATATACTATGAGTAATTTTTATCATTTCTTCAGTCTTATTTGGCTTGAAAAAATTCATAAGACAGGAGTTGGGACAGCTGTTCCAAAAGCATTTAATAAGTGAATAGGTTCCTTCATGCTATTCAAAATTTTATTTAAGATGAGGATAGAGAGAAACTAATGAATAATACTAGGTGCTCTGCATCTGTTATGTCATTTATTCCTCAACAGCACCTTGTGAGATAAGGGTGTTAACTGGTTGTAGAATTTTCTCAAGGTCTCAAGGTTTTTGAGTGTGAAGCCGGAGGTTTAACCAAGATGTGTGTGATTCCAATGTTCTTTCTTTCATGGAACAGGGCCTTTCCAGTATGAGATGAAAAGTCCCTTATTTTGGGATTCCCCACCTCCCCCATTTGTTAAATACGTTCCCTACTTGCTTCTGGGGATCAGACACCAAGTCTGCTGCGAAGCCAAGAGAAAGTTATTTGTATGAAGTTATATGTAGAGAACTGTTTGTGAGTGACTTTCCCAGATAACCAATCAAAAGCAATGTCTTTCCTTGAATTCCATGTAGCACTGAATGTGCTCCATTGTTCAATTTTACCAGTTGCCTTGTTAAGCCATTTTTTCTTGCCAAATTTCCAAAGAATTGCTTCAGTGCTGTCTCTTTTTCTTTTCTTTTCTTTTTTTTTTTGCAGTACGCGGGCCTCTCACTGTTGTGGCTTCTCCCATTCCGGACGCGCACGCTCAGCGGCCATGGCTCACGGGCCCAGCCGCTCCGCGGCATGTGGGATCTTCCCGGACCGGGGCACGAACCCGTGTCCCCTGCATCGGCAGGTGGACTCTCAACCACTGCGCCACCAGGGAAGCCCAGTGCTGTCTCATTTTTATATTAGAAGCTTGGCATGAGAGCTTGCACTAATATAAAATATTTATGAATATGTAACTAAAGGCATTTGTTTTAGACCAACTTAAGGGCATTTAAAGTACCATAGTTTTCTACTTCTTTATGGTTTGCTTTAAAGATCATTTAAAAATTCAAATATGTGGAAAATAAAGGGAAAAACGTGTGATACTTTTCTCTTACTATTTCCCAATTAGCATTACACAATTACAGGATTGTGTAATTTTCAACACATATTTATTCATTGTGCACTTAGGATGTCAATAATATAATAAATAATGTAATACTGTATAATCACTTAAATTTCTCTGGAATATCATAAAGAATGCTTAAGCAATGTATTCAAATTCAATGGACTATTAAGTGAGACTGAATGAAAGTTTGAGAATGTTTTCCTATTATACCAAAATCTTAACGGATCTGGAATACTAGCTTTAACAAGTAAGATTTTATTATAGAAACTAGACTCACAATGGCACAGTGGAATAAGAAGAAAGGAAATAGCAAGAGAGAGGATATTCATGTTGTTAACTTTCTTTTCTTCCTGGTGTGTAATATGGAAGGAATATGCTAGACCCCATAATTTGGAGGAGTCAGGGATTCCAATTCTAAAAGCCTTGCCAGCTTAAAAGTAAACTCGAGCAAGAAGCTGCTGACTATGCCATGCTAATTTGTGGATATTTGCATAGAGAAAGTCTAGCTTCCCTCTTAGAGGATTGTCTCCTGACTGATGCTCAAACCATGAAAAGCCCCAACGGTGCACAGCCAACACACCATGGCCTGGGCTGGCCACTCTGCCCTTAGATTTAATGAGAGATCAGAAGCTCTTGAACGACCTGAAGGCAGATTTAACGGACAACAGACGCTCATTGCAGAGAAAATGAATCCTGAATCTCATCTGTTTGAGGTGGAAGTAAAGGAAGAACTTCCGGGGATTAAAGGGCGTTTATAGGAGGGAGTGCCAAGTTCAGCCTGCATTCAAAACGGAAATAATTCTCATTATCATGACAGCTTTGCTGAAGGAAGAACTACTTTTCTGGGATTCAGTTGAATATGAAACAGGCTATGAATTTAGGTAGAGAGCGAGATAATGAGACTAGCTTTTCTTGCTAATGGAGCCTAAGTTTGTTTTGGTCGTAGTGATATCCTTTAAAACAGTAGAGACTATCGTTAATAAGCTGAAAGTTTCAGCTTTTCAGTTCATAGGTTAAAAATCTATAGGTGTGGCCTCTAAGCCAGTGGGAGAATCAGGTTTCCCTGAAAGGAAATCCAGTCCTGCCTAATCCCAGACTCCTAGATGTGTTATTACTGTCTGACACTTTCTCGGTACGGGTCATTCATCTCGAATTGATTCAAACAAAATTTTGAGAAAACATAAACCTTCCCTTTCGTCCTTCATGATCATACGCTACACAGAGCTGTGAAGAAGCATTTTCCCTCAACAATATATTCTGTGCATTATTTTGTTTTTTAATATATTTAGCTCTGCCTCATTCTTTTTTTTTTTTTAAATTAATTTATTAATTTATTTATGGCTGTGTTGGGTCTTCGTTTCTGTGCAAGGGCTTTCTCTAGTTGTGGCAAGTGGGGGCCACTCTTCATCGCACGCACAGGCTCAGTAATTGTGGTTCACGGGCCCAGTTGCTCTGCGGCACGTGGGATCTTCCCAGACCAGGGCTCGAACCCGTGTTCCCTGCACTGGCAGGCGGACTCTCAACCACTGCGCCACCAGGGAAGCCCTGCCTCATTCTTTTAAAGATTGCCTGTCCCTCTATCCATTAAAGAACACTTGCATATGCTCCAATTTTTCACGTTTAATGATTCTGAGAATATTCTGGAACACATGTACCTGGACCTTTTGCAAGGAATCAAAATTCCAAGAGACAGAATTGCGTGTCCAGTGGGGATCCACCTTTAACATGCTATCCTGGTTATTGTAAAGCGAACACACATTTTGTTAAAAATTAAAAGCAGTGGTAGACACTAAAACCAAAAATCTATAGGTGAAAAACCAGAGCTTTCCATGTAGAGTACATTACAATATTTCAAAGAAAGAACCAGATTAGGAAACATGTCTGTAGTCAGGAATCACTTGACCCCTTCAATTCCACCTTCTGGGGCTGCAGGTGTGGTCTGACTCAAGGCAGACCTGAGCACGTCGTTTTCTGGCCTCACAGCCCGGAGCGGTTCCCTGTCTTACAGAATCAGGTCCAAGCCCTGCATGTTATTCTGGGCCCTACATTCCTGCCACCCACTGCTTCAGCAGATGCTCCACAACCTTTTCCAGGAACTCCAAACAGCTGGGCTTCTCGCACACACCAGGCACTGATGCTTTACCTTCCCTGCCTTTGCACCTGAGGGCTGCCTGGAAGGCTTCTCTGCCACGTCCTTGCCTGGCTCGTAACCCTGACCCTCATTCTCGGCTCAGGTATCATCACCAGGAAGCCGTCTCTTAACCCCAAGGTCTTCCTTTACTAGCTTGTTTTCTCTGTCATATTTTATAAGGTTATCTATTTATGTGTCTATCTCCTTTCCTCGCTCCTTTTAAATTCAATAAATATTTATTTATCGGGTGCTCTTCTGAGGAAAGACAGCCTCAGGGCCCACCCTGGGGCCGAGGGCTGGGTTTCACGCACAGCAGGCCAGCTCTCAGCCCCGACAAACCAGTGAGTATCTCTAGATATCAGAGTACTCTGGGGAAATACTGGACCGGGAAGTTTCCCTACCATCTTCTTCTTTTTTTTTTTTTATCAGATGCAAAGTGTTTAATAGTGTTAATAATATGTAATAATAAGGGCGGCTAGTGAAGGCCCAGTGAAGAGAACGTGGGAAAAACAGTACCTGTGCTTCGTTTATTTCTCAGCCGAGCTAATGCTGCTGACCCTACCGCGACGTGTTTCACATTTAGAAAGAAGTCTGGGTGCTGGGCTGGGACGGCTTTAAGGTGGATGGCATGGGTGCCCCGCCGGCTCCCGTGAGGTAGCAGGGCCCCTGGGAAGGGGGCAGCCCAGAGGAATGCTCTGAATATAGACTAGAGTTTGACTTCCAGCAACACTACAGAGCCCGGAGGGCTACACAGCGATGGCCCCCAGACCACAAGATCACACAGAGCAGCCATCAGAGCAGAGGGAGGTCAACGGGGGGAGGAAAAACCACAGCCACGAGCATGGTCGTGTCCCCAGAGCCCAGCTGGTCTCCCTCTCAGTGGCCTACAGCGGTTACATGGGGCCCCTTGTCAGGAGGCAAGGAGCCGGGAGCCGGGAGGGCCTCCTTCTGGTAGGAGCTCTCTCAGGTCTCCCCACAGCTGTGGTGGCTCCCAGGGTGTGAGGATGCATGCACGTGACCACACGGGTAAGGGAAGGGAGACGCTGCCCTGGGTGTAGACTATCCCCAGGGAGAACCATCTGAATACGAATGGTGGTGTTTCTAAGCCCGTAAACCTGTGCAAAGCAGCAGATATACTTGGGCTCCTGGGAGCCCCTGACTATGGTAAACGTCGTTTCATCCATCCAGAGGTGTCCCCAAGTTATCCCCTCCCATGCTTAAAATTTAGAGAGAAGCTGGTGGAAGGCAAAAGCCCCATATTCAGAAACACACTCATGGAAAGGCTAGTTTAATGAAGAAGCCAAATGTCACCCCAACATAAGGCACTAACTCTCCCACCACAGGGATGGTGAAACCAGAGCCCAGAGTGTGTCCCGTGTTCAAAGGGATAGGAATCACTGACGTGAAAGAGAGAGTTTCATGGCCAAAAAAAATTGCGAACCAACTGGTTACACCAAGTTAAACAGATTTCTTTACAAAAGGCATTCTGAACGGCTTGAATGTATGTTACGAATGGGGATAATAATAGCTTCCTTATGTGGTGTCTGTGAGGATTAAATGATCTGATACTCGAAGGGAACTTAGAACCAGCATTTCGTAAGTGCTTAGTACAAGTCAGTTGTTTTCCTTGTTGTTATTCTCCAAGAGGGGATACAGTGGGAACCAACTGCCAGATGTATGTGACGTGGTGGCATCTGCCTTTCCCCGGTGAGTATCTCTAGATACCAGAGTAGTATGGAGGGCACTCTGGGGGAAATATTCGACTGGAAAGTCTCCCTAGCACTTGTTTTTAAAAATCAGGTGCAAAGTGTTTAGTAGTGTTAATAATAAATAATAATAAGGGCAGTTAGTGTTTCTTCAGTGCTTTCTCTATGCCAGGCACCGGGGAGGCATTTGCCACCCACCATGTCATATGGTTCTATTGCTGCGGGGCAGCTTCTGTTATCAGCTCTATTTTACAGAATAGGACTTGCAGCTTAGGAGGCTAAGAAGCTTGACGTTGAGAGAGCTGAGACTCAAACTCTGGCCAGATGGCGCCAAAGTCCCAGCGCTGAACTCCCCAGCTAGCAAGCCCTCGTAGAGCCCCTGACTGTCCCAGCCATGCAGCTGACGCCCTGAGACGCCCTCACTTCTTGCCCAGCCCAGACTCACCATGTTTTTCCACCGGCACGTGGCAACGGGGACAGGGTTTAGAGGTCTTCTTGATCGTTTCTTTGGAGGCGTGCTCCCACCGAGCCCGCTCTGCCGTCTTCTCATCAACTCGGTAGGCCTGGGTAAATGAGACAGAAGGAGCTGAAAGTCAGATCTTCACAGTGGGCTACAACGTGGGTCCCTTGAAACACTGCACAGGAAGTTCTTAGAGATGCAAGTGCCTTCAGGCAAGAAGCTCAAAAGTAAACTCACTTGACAAGTGGTGGATGGCTCCCGGCCATGCAGGGACATGCACCAACATGGTTTCTTAGCATCTGGCCTGTGCTTACAAGCTAAGACAAGACTGCAGTTTTGCAGTATGAGTTCCTCTTTTTTATTGTCTTGAATAATTGTAACACATAACATCTAGTGGGTGCTTAACATGCAGGCAAGGTGGCACATACTCTTAAAACCTTCTTGCTAGACGCTTCATCAGGTGAGTGTACTAGTTTTTATTTTACATCGAGGATTAGACATGTTAAACAACTGCCCAAAGCTGATAAGCAGCAGAGTCTATGTGACTCCAAAATCTCTGCTTTTAAACTTTCTTCAACATATTATTATCTTTCATTCCTGCACCTGGACAGGAACGTGGTCACAGACAGGACGGGGCAGGAACAGGGAGGTGAAGCTGATATGACAGAGGAAGTGGCAGC